TTTTTTTTTTTATTACACTATTATTTCATTTAAGGTTTAATTGACTTCATTCTTAGGTAAAGGTCCTTGTGCATGAAATTTGGTTTATGGTTGGTTGCATAACCTTTAATTAGATATAAAACATCATAATTTTAAGGTAAAGGAAAAAATACAAAAAAAAAAAGAAAAATTAAAAGTTGGTCCTTAAACTTCATTTTTCCACCTTTCTTATTCCTAATTAAGGGACCTATCGTTCTCCGTTCCCCTTCTCTTATGCATTTTCCCCCATTTAATACAATAATAAAAGCATTCTTAATTAATTTTAATATTCTTAAATGTAAATCTTTGACCAATCTTAAGAATTTACTTACACTTACTACTCAATTTATGAGTTTTCTCTTTCATTTTCAGTCTAACATTTCCTTCTTCCAATATGTATTTTCATCATTTTCTTCTTTTTAATCTTCCCTGTGTATGGACAAAATTTTGATTGAAATAAAAATTCTAATTTAACTCTATCATTATCCATTTATTTTAATTTACTATCCTATCACAAAAGGTATCCCTTTATCATTAAGTTTTTTTCCTAAAAGTAATGTAAATAAATACATAAATTGTTCTTAAATCCTTAATTTGAAGAAAAAGCTAAAAAATAACAATTATTTTGAAATGAAAAAATTAGAATATAATTGGACTTAATCGGGGCTTAACCCCCATTGGGTCCTTTTAAGTATTTATTTAGAATTTTATAGGTGTTTTAAAAGGATTTATTAAAAATCTTGAAAGCCCTATTAAGTATTTATTTGAAATTTATTAAAGATTTTAATAATTTTTATAATATAATATTATTATATATACACTTCGCTTCCTTCTTCAAAAAAATTAAGTTCATTGAACCGAAGGAACCTAACTGTTAAGATTCTTTCTAGTTCTGGTATGTTTGTTAAACCAATAACCGGTAAAGTCAAAAGGCTGAATGATTTATAGAAAGCAAAACCAACTCCACCAACTAATAAATCTTGTCGATGGTAAAATCCAATCAGTTCCAGGGGTTTGAGAAGAAATAATAATGTCATCAGAATCTTGAAGACACTCCAATTTCTTAATGGAATGACTGGCAAGTGAATTTTGATCTCTTTCTCCATAGGAAGACACAATTTCTTGGGATTGATCCGTCATAACAATTTAGAAAGTGTCATAATGATAGACGAGTGTTTGTAACAGAAAGAATCCAATTTATAAGTATGTACAAAGAGCTCCTTTTTTTTTTTCTTTCTTTTTAGTTTGGTATAGTTTAAATTGTAAAGTTTATTTTGTAATTTAAATGTATTAGACTATAGAATAGAAAACTCAAATGCATATACCATGAAAAAGAGAATGACATGGTAATATCAAAATTTCTATGGTTTAGTTTGACAATACTAACCTATAGCTACAACTATAGGTTTTTTTACTAATTTAACATTTTAAAAATATATAAAATATATTTAATATATTTAATACTTGTTTTAATCAATATTTTACATATTTTTAAAATAATAAAAGGACATAAAAACTAAAAATTGAAGAATCGAAAAGCTTTCTCCAATGAAACCTATATATCCAAGTGCTTCCAATCTAGCATGCAAGATCTTCATCCTTCTTGTTGATTTTGTGTTTTTCTACACGATCTTGGTCCAAGATATGACCTCTGAAACCATGCTAATTAATATCCCCACGGTACACCACTGTAGAGTTTTAAATTCAATTGTAACAGATAGTAACAGATATTTGGGAAAGGATGTAGGAAACCGAACCCACCAAAGCACATAACAGATTACCATATTTAACCAGTCTTTGTAGTATATGTGAGGTTCCAAACCAACCAACACCACAATACTGCATGTGACAACAGATTTTAAAGACAAAATCATGCTTGTGATTCCTTTAGCATTTGTTGAGGGTAGTGATAGATCTTCGAGTAAAAATCTTTGTAACCAAAAACAAAAAACTATATAACTGATTATTGCAAATAACCAATCTTTATAATCAGCCACAAGATATATGAGAAGAGCGAACGAGAACATGCCTTGTGCAACATTTACAATGGCTAAAATCATACCGCCGATTCTTCTGGTATTTGTAAGGCGCAATGAGCTCTCTTGGGAATTGAACTTACAAAACTGGGCACACCAAAGCATAACACTGATTGCCTTAGCTAACCAATCTTTATAGTTAGGCAAGGGAGGTTTGACAACAAAAGATACAAGGAAAGATCTTGCGAAATGTACAACACTTGATGAAAAAAACAAAAACAAGCTAGTGCTTCTAGCCATGGTATTTGTAAAGGTCAATGATTGATCTTCTTCCAAATCCAACCAATACTTATCTAACCAGCTTTTGAAACTAATCAGCACAAAACAAATGGAGGCAATTATCCATGACGGAAACATGAACTTGAACCGGTTGTAAGTAATCGAT